GGTTAGAGAAATGTGAACATGGAATGATCTGGTTAGAGAAATGTGAACACGAAATGATCGGGTTAGAGAAATGTGAACATGGAATGTACACTGTACCTGTAGTCCCAATATATAGATCAGCGTCTTGTTTGTGATGGACAACGGGCCCAGGATGTGTGCCACTTGGACTCTTGGGATGGAGCGGTAAAACGGTACAAAGAGAGCAAACACAGGCGCCAGGCTATGCAAACAAACAGAAAAGCCACCGTGAGAACCGATTCCAAACACTGGCAGAGACCGCTGGAGCAGCGCCACTCACACTCATTTCGGTGTGAGATACGCACATTGGTTTTCAAACACCCATCATAGGCAGACAATGGTCCAGTGTGTACAACACTTTAAGACAGCAAACTTACCGTCCTCACTTACTAGTAAGTAGTTGGGCATCTACTAATCAACCCTAAGGCACTGTGAGTAAACAATGAATGGCCTGAAATCTGACAAGAGACCACAGACAGCATTGGAGTCTTTCACGGTCAAACACAAAGTCACAGCAGAATCTGGCCGGTCATCCCGCATGGCACCAGACACCTCTTACCACTCCTGCTCTCTATTCCTCAAATTTCTTCCTCTTTTTGTCTTAAACTCTTTTCCTTAAGGGGTTCTCAATGACTCCTCACACCACCCTGCCCCTTCCGGGGCTCCCGTTTCTGTTCTTGCTTTAGTATCTCCCTGAACAGTGCTCTCTGTGGCTCCAACCAGGGAAATGAGGTTGGTCCAAACCGTGGCAGTACCAGGCTCTGGAACCAACTTGATACCGTCCCTTTGGTATTTGAATTAGTCACATGTGCCTACCCTTGCTTCTCTCTAATCACATGGTCACACCCCTAGTAGTAGTTTCACTGTAAAACAACAGCTCTTCCTGCTAGGTCCTAGGTCGTGCAGAAGACAGGTGTCTGACAGTCCCTGGGCCGCCTGAGTCCCCCTCTCCACAGGATCCCAGTGCCCCGACCTGAAGCGTGAACAGCACTGCATTCCACAGCTGCCCACCCAAGTGCACTCTTGCCGGCTCCCCTCCTCTCTGTAACTCACTCGTACACCCCAGTGGCTGGCTGGCGGATGCAGACTCCTCTGGCTGGTACACATGGACACGGGTTCTCCTTCCCAGAGCTTCCTTTTTACTCCCTGCTTAGCAAACTCTTCTCACACGGCTCTGCTCGGGTTTCTCTGACTCCTCCTGGCAGGTAGCAGCTTTCCTCTTTGCCCAGAGTCATGCCGGTCTGGCTGTTTTAGTGAGCTGACTTGAATCAGCTGGGC